CCCTGTTTGGCGGCTTGAGCCGGTCGACAGCGGCGTGAACCTCGGTCCTGATTCGGGTTACTGACACTAGTATTCCAGAGATTGACTTTCAGAAAAGGCATCTCCGCATTGATTTGTTTAGCCGAGAAATGTTGAGCTTATGCCTCTCACGCGGAGAAAGCCGACGTTGCACGTTGATCCAGGCTGGACACGCGCTGATTGGACCAAAAAAAAATCCTCGAGGAGACTCCGTCGAACTCGTACAAAGCGAGACTGCCACAGTATCAGTCCCAGATGACTGACCGATGCGGTTATACTCCGATGGCGCGCTCCGGAGGGACAGCCAAAGCAGGACTAGGTGCCATCCCGGGCTTTGGATCCAGCATGGAAAAGCATTATCAGCTCGGAAAACTCCGCCCATAGGGAGAAGCTCGAGAAAGCGGCCGGTCCAATAAGAGAGGCATTCACCAATCCGCTTGCCATATCGCAGGCTCTGGGGTTACATTGCCGATTGATGGTGGGTGTTATTCACTGATAACAAGACTAAATTTGTAGTGTCGCATGTTGCCAGGGTCCGGGTTACTCGCGTGCTAATTTCTTCCTCTTTAAAATGTCGGTTCTTCTTTCTCCCATCTTTTCTTTGTAGTTTTTTTTTTTTTGTTTTTTTCTTTCTTCTTCTTTTCTTCTTAACACTCTATTCTTTTTGTGTCCTGTGTTGTGGTGTCGTCGCTGTTTATCTTGGAGATAAGACGAGATACATAGTCCCTCGTGGTTTCTTAATTTCACCATGGCCGCAGACCACGAGGTTGAGCCTGCTCAGTACGTTTTTTTTTTTTTTTTTTTTTTACAACACTCCTCCTTTAACCCTAGTTCATCGCGCTGGTCTATACTAACTGTAATAGACACCAGAATACCATCGCCACCGTGAAAGACCCGGCGGAGACCACCGAAAAAGCCCTGGGCGACACCCCCGACGGCGAAGAACCCAACGACGAGGAAAAGAAAAAACTTCGCCATGTCGCTGAGAACCTTCCCATCTCGGCCTGGTTGGTTGCTGTCGTTGAACTGTGCGAGCGTTTCACTTTCTACGGCATGTCGGGTATCTTCCAGAACTACATCAATCTGCCTCTCGACGGTAGCCAGGGCCGTGGTGCGCTGGGTATGGGCCACCAGGGTGCTACTGGTCTGAATACATTCTTTCAGTTTTGGTGTTATGGTGAGTTTCCCCGTACTGGTGGGTTAATAGTGAATGGAAGCTAACGGTGTAGTCACTCCCATTCTTGGTGCCATTGTGGCTGACCAGTACCTGGGCAAATACAAAGCCATTGTGCTCTTTTCGCTCATCTACATGGTTGGTTTGCTGATTATGGTGTGCACTTCGATTCCTGCCTCTTTGGAGAATGGCGCTGGTTTGGGTGGTTTCATCGCGGCGATTCTGATCATCGGTATTGGAACGGGCGGTATCAAGAGTAACGTTGCTCCTTTGGTAAGTCTCTCCGAGCGTCTCAATAAGAAAAAAGCGCTAACTGCGCAGATTGCGGACCAATATAAACGCAAGAAAATGGCCGTCAGCACTAAAAAAGGCGAACGAGTTATTATTGACCCCGCCCTGACGATCCAGCGGATCTACATGATTTTCTACGGCTGCATCAACGTCGGCTCACTGTCGTTGCTGGCAACGCCATACATGGAGAAACTCGTGGGCTACTGGTCCGCCTACCTACTCTGTCTGTGCATGTTCATAGTCGGAACCACGACCGTCCTGCTCGGCCGGAAATTCTACGTCGTCCGCCCGCCGCAGGGCTCCATTATCACCGACGCATTCAAGGCCCTTTGGATCATGGTCATCAACCGCAACATGGACGCCCCCAAACCAACCTGGCAGGCAGAGAACGGAGGCCGCCGTACCAGCCTCCCTTGGGACGATCACTTCATCGACGAACTCAAGCGCGCGCTCGTCGCGTGCAAGGTGTTCTGCTTCTACCCTATTTACTGGGTGGTGTACACGCAGTTTTCGGGTAACTTTGTCACGCAGGCCGGACAGATGGAGGGCCATGGCATTCCCAACGACCTCATGCAGAACTTCGACCCCATCTCCATTCTCGTGTTTATCCCCATCCTCGAGACCCTGGTCTACCCGCTCATGCGCCGTCTGCGCATCCCCTTCAAGCCCATTACGCGTATCTCACTGGGTTTCATCGTCGCCTCCCTCGCCATGATGTACGCTGCCATCGTCCAGCACCTCATCTACTCCGCCGGCCCCTGCTACGAGAACCCGGGTTGCGACGCCTCCATCGTCGACGGCACAACCCAAGGCAACCACGTCCACATTGCCATCCAAACCCCCGCCTACGTCTTCATCGGACTATCTGAAATTCTTGCCTCCGTCTCTGGTCTTGAATACGCCTACACCAAGGCCCCGCCATCCATGAAATCCTTTGTGCAATCCATGTACCTCCTCACTAACGCCTTTGGTGCTGCCATCGCTGAAGCCCTCACCCCCGCTGCGTACGACCCTGCTATCATGTGGATGTTCACTGGTGTCGCGTGCGCGTCGTTCTGCACGGGTATCATCTTCTTCCTCACGTATCACCACTTGAACGCTCAGGAAGAGGATATGAACGCGCTGGATGCGGATGATCCGGATACCCCTGTTGCTAGGGAGGAGCGGAAGGAGTAATTTGGGCTCATTGGATTACGAGTTTGTTTTGTTTTCGTTTCGTTAATAATGTAAAGGTACATAACGTAGCTCGCGGGTCGGGTCGGGGATGTTACGAATTATGAATGTGTTCATTATCAGTATTGGATTGATGAACATAAAAGCTCTTCTATAGAACGTTCAAATAATTATTTTCAATACGGTCTCTGGTTCTTCGTAGATGTGGTGGTGTCTTAGTAGCAACCGACGTCAAAATCCAGGCGTATCCAACACTTGCCATGTACAACATCTGTAGTGGTTGCTATCCTGTGCTGCTAGTTGGCGATTCTCGCCTGTACTCTGAATCTTGGTCGTGGCGGATACAGAATATTGAATGAATTTGTCAACAGTGGGTTTCTGTCTCTCATCTTGTAGAACTGCGTCTTCCTTTTCGGTTGTGGTTGTGTTAGGGTGTGAGGGCCCGGTTACACCCGAGAACTGGCTTTATGTGCATCGCATTTGTAGAGATAGCGTAGCGCAACATCCTTACCCCTTGCTATCCATCTATTGGTATAGACACCCTGATGTAAAGGGTTGCCATTGGTATAGACTTGTGTGTTAGGCATGTATAGCCATGTTATGCCATGTCAGTTCAAGGTGAATAGAGGAACACTAGCACATTATAGTCGTGCTTCGGAGAGACCAAGTGGTATACCATGCATCGATGCACGCCTCTTTCCGGGCAGTTTCAAGTGTGGTTGTTTTAAGGCCCAGACAGACGCTTCGATCGGAATCCAAAGCAAGAGATTCAAATGAGAATCTTGTGGTCGTTCGCTGAGATCGTGGGATTGGATAGAACATGTGCATCTGGGGAGCTCTTCGAGTCTCCATGAGCGTTCTCCCATTTGCCCAGCTTCCAGGCGAGTGAAACGGCCCTGACTAGGTTAGCCCTGTAATCTCGAACAAGGTTTTCATACCTTGGGTTGTTGGTTTATGTAGAGAGGGGCCTTATAGAAGCGCTGGTAATTGATGAGTAATTTCACTTGGAGCTGCAGTTTGGTAACTCCATCCTCGCTTAGGATAGATTCCTCCACCATAGGTAGGATCCTCCAAAGAAACACGTACGTCTGGCACAGTGCTGAATGCGCTATAAACCACGTGACCTGCATGACCTGCATAAGTAATTCCCCATTAACGCTTATGATGCAGCACAAGATTCTACAGAGAGCTAGGAATTACCCGACGTCTTATTCAGTCTGCGACAGGCAGAATACAGTCGAATAGCCTCAGCCTCATATCCTCATAGTTGCCGCATTTGGCAAGCCGAGTCATGTACGACACGTGATGTCTGGATTGGGAGTGGCTGTTAAGCGCAGTGAGGCGCTAAAAAGGCGTTGAAGGTTTAATATACGAGTGTCTCAGTGTTTAATTATAGCTAAACTGTGGCTGATGCGACCCTAACACGAGTACGACGGAAAAGTGGTAGCCTGCGTCATGGTTATCCATAAACTCTGAGTATTCAATGGTGACTCTCTCTTCTTCAATTACTCTACTCTATTCTACTCTATATCAACATCTTACTCTGTCTTTGTATATACTATCTATTGCAATTTGGCGTGAAACATCAATAAAAAAAGGGGACTCGACGATCACCGCCAGGTCTGTGCATTATTGTGATTCCCCCCTAAAAAGAAAAGAGTCTGCGCTGTCGGTGGGAGCTCTTGTAATATTCTTCTTTTTCTCTTTCCCCCTTCTTTTTTCCTTCTCTCTTCTCTGGTTGTTTTTTTCTCTATTTAACACATACGCTCTTTTTAATCGGTGGCATTGCTGAGTTTTGAGGCTGTTTCTCGCCCGCCGCCACACTCCGTGTTCTCAGCCGCGTTGCTCCTGTCACTCTCATTCTCACTCTCATTTCTTCTTTTCTCTCCTTCAACTTCCAACTTCTACTTCTTTGTTTTTTGTCTCTTTCCCTTTTATTCCTGATTTTATCGCTGGATTTATCCTTGCGATTTAATTAGTTGGATCGGTCGACTACTTCACCTCACCTTGGATCGATCATCGGAAGAAACGGACTCGCGACGACCGAACTTCGTTCCTCCTTGTCTTCTTTTTTCGTTTCTCTTAAAAGCGATTCTATAGACCAAATCTAATAATCATAATGAGTGTAGGTCATTCCCCTCATTTCGTCTTGATCGTTGCTCACTTTGCAGTACCAGAGCCTCGAAGGTGGCCAAGGTGGCTACGGTCAATACAACCCCTACGGTGCCGCCGCGCAACCAAACCCCTACGCTCACGGTGATGCCATGGAGCAGGGCAACGGAAACTATGGTGCGTTGATATCTCGAGACAAGCGACTATGGAAGATAGTCTAACAGCAGCAGAAATGAACCAAGTGCAGCCCGGCGGCGGAACTACCGGCATCTTGAACAAGTGCAAGGAAATCAACGACGGAATCGGTGATCTGCGCGCCAAGCGCGAAGGCCAACTCTCTGCCGCCCAGAACGCCTTGTTGGACTCGAGCACCGAAAAGGAGGACCAAACTGCCCGCCAGACTCTCGACTACATCGAAGACGAAATCAACAACGGTTTCCGCTACCTGCGCGATCTTCTCAAGCGCATCAAACAGACCCCCGGTTCCGGTGATGCCCGTGTCCAGACCCAGATCGATGTCACCAGTCGTAACCTGCGTCGCGAAATCGAGCAGTACCAGCGCGCTCAGTCAGACTTCCAGAAGCGTTTGCGCGAGCAAGTTCGTCGCCGTTATGAGATTGCCAATCCCGAGGCCACTCCGGAGGAGCTTGACCAGGGTGTTGACAACGTGCTCATGGGACAGGAGCAGAGCTTCCAGGTGGGTACACTGCACATGCGTTATAATGGATGATGCTAATTGTTAATAGGTTGCCGGTACGCGATCCCGTCAAGCCAATGATGCCCGTCGCGCCGCCTTGGAACGATCTGCAGCCATTCGCAAGATTGAGCAGGATATGATCGAACTCGGTCGTCTGTACCAGGAAATCGCCGAACTGGTGCATATGCAGGAACCCCAAGTGGAGCAGATCCACCACGGCGCCGAGGATGTCGTGGGTAATGTGCAGAATGCCAACACTCAGATCGACTCGGCCATCTCCAGCGCGCGTAAAGCCCGGAAGTGGAAGTGGTACGCTTTGCTCATCGTCAGTAAGTAGCGCCCTTTATCTGGTCAAACGAGGCCTGATGCTAACGTCTGCAGTCCTCATTATTGCCATTGTTGTCGGTGTTGCTGTCGGTGTCAAAGTTGGTGGTGACAACAAATAGACGCATCGTTTCTCGTTCTTTGTTCTGGTTTCTAGACTTTGGTCAGGATTGGGATCATGCTATTTTATTCCCCGACTTTTGGTCATTGATTGCTTGCTTTTATTGTGTGCTTTTTATTCTGATACTCCCTCTTGTGTATCTTTGCTTGCTTCGGACAGGGTTATATGATCAATTTACCGGGTACAACTCCCTGTCTATTCTCTCGTTTGCTTTATGCTTTAAAAGCCTCTCTGTCGCCGTTTCCTAGTTTTGTTTGCGTTGTGCTGTATAATTAGCCATGGCGATGATGTTCTCGTACATGGCTGGACACGCATGATGCTCCTGCATGTACATATTAGACTTGCTCGCTATACTAATACATATCTAATAATGCTGTTATCTGTGAATCTATCCCTGCTTCTGCTCTTCCTCCGGTGTCCTCGTCTTGAGTTGTAGTGCATGAATTCCGCCTTCCTGGCTCATCTCGTCTTTCAGTAGAGCGTAAATCATCCGGTGCCGTGCGGCTTGCATTTTCGATTGGAAGGCTGAAGATGTAACAGTTACACTGCCATTAACCATCACCATTAGTCTCCAACTTCATTTGAATCAAGTGGGGGTGAGACGAACTGAAAATGCGTCTCTCTAGACGTCGACCCCTGCATCGGGGCGTGGTGCGCGTGGAGATGCGAGTCATTGCGGATGAGAAGGGTCGAGGGGCTTAGAGAGGTCGTTAACTATTCATTATACCCTTATCAGCATCTCTGATCCAGCAGGGCGAGGAGAGTGGGAGGGGGAAGGGGAGGGGGAGAAGAGAGAGGGACCTTTTCGCGGATGATATCCTCGAGGGGGGTAGCGGAGGAAGACATTGTCCGGGTTGGTATTGTCGATGATACTGCTGAGAACAGAGGGCGACGGAGAGAGGAGAGAGAGGATCGGAGATACATTGAGGTGTTTGTTATCGAGATGTAGTCAGTGGTTGTATTAGTCCTGCGAGATGGAGAAATTATCCAGCGGGAATGCCGGCTGACATCAACTCCGCATCCTCTAAATTTCTAGACATGCTTTCGACACACTAATAGCAGCGAATATGCCCTCACAGATCCTCCTCTCCCTATCACGGGGAATCCGCCGTCTCAATGCCAATCGCACCGCCTTATGTACATATCCATATCTAACCGCGACACCTACACTCCGAACGCGAACGTTGTCAACCCTCCCCAACATCCCCCTCTTCCGCGCCCTCCAAAACCACGATCCAATCTCACAAGCCGTGATCCATAGTGCGTCCTCGCGATCGTTTACATATGGGAATTTACTCGCGGATGTACTTGCGGCGAAGGAGAAACTACGGATAAAGAGTGGCAGTGGCTCGTTAGCAGGCGAGAGGGTTGCGTTTTTGGCGGAGAATAGCTATGACTACGTAGGTATTTCTCCCTTCCTCTTATCCGATTGTAATTGCGCAAATGGTGGACGGAGCTCATGCTGACGATGAATAGTAACGCTCCTCTCAATCCTGGCGCACGATGCCATCGCCCTACCCCTCTCACCTGGGTTTCCCGTCGGCGAACTAAAGTATATCATGGATAACTCCGGCGCGAGCGTATTACTGGCAACAGAACGCTATGCGGATAAAGCACGAGAAGTCCTAGGTGCCGGGCTTAAGAAAGAACCCATCCTGGATGTTAGGGAGAAGATTCTCCATGGAGGGAGTGTTTCAGAGACGGTATCGCTGGAGGAGTTTGGGCAGGGGATGAAGGGGGGGATGATGCTTTATACGTCTGGGACTACGAATCGGCCGGTATGGTTTCTCTCCTTGTTCGGGGATAGTTGTGTTGGCGATAGTGACTGACGATACCAGAAAGGGGTCTTGATACCCCAATCCGCGCTCACGGCGCAGGCTGAGTCCCTAATCCAAGCATGGAAGTATACCCCCAGCGACAGATTATTACACCTACTCCCTCTGCACCACATCCATGGCACCATCAATGCAATTGTCACGCCCGTACTCTCCGGCTCCTCAATCGAATTCATGTACCCCTTCAACCCAACAGCTGTCTGGAACCGCCTGGCCGCATCATTCCTCCCGAACACAAACACCAACAAAACCAACACCAACACCAGCGCCAACAAAGCCAAGATAACCTTCCTAACTGCCGTGCCCACAATCTACACAAAACTCCTCTCCACATTCCCCTCCCTGCCACCCGAAACCCAATCCGCGGCCCGCAACGCTATATTCCCCGAAGCCCTACGGCTGAATATCTCCGGCTCCGCGGCGCTCCCGACACCTATCAAGCAAGCTTGGAAGGAACTTAGCGGTGGAAATGTACTACTGGAGCGGTATGGGATGACGGAGGTTGGGATGGCGATTAGTTGCGGACTTGACTTTGCGGATCGGGTCGATGGAAGTGTGGGGTGGGCGTTACCCTCCGTCGAGGCTCGACTGGTCGATACAGATACCAATGAGGTTATCAAACCAGGTGAAGAAATCGACCCTATCACCGGACGTGAACGGGAAGGTGAAATCCAACTCCGAGGACCGTGTCTGTTCAAAGAATACTGGGGCAATGAACCCGCTACTACGGAAGCATTCGTCGCCGACCACGACAGCCAAGAAAAAGGGAAGTGGTTCAAGACTGGCGATGTCGCTGCAAGACGGGAGATCAGTGCCGCTGGAAAGGGTGGCAGTGGGGAGTGGGCGAGCGGTCCTATGTATTTCATTCTGGGACGGCGGAGTGTTGATATTATCAAGACTGGTGGAGAGAAAGTTAGCGCGTTGGAGGTTGAGAGGGAGTTACTTTCTCTGTATGTCTCCCTCCTATTTCCTACTCATTCTTATCTATATGCTAATGGGAATGGTGATGGTGTAGCCCCCAAATAACCGAAACCGCCGTCCTGGCCCTCCCCAGCGAGCAATGGGGCCAGAAAGTCGCTGCCGTTGTCGTATTACACCCCAACGCTGAAACATTGGGGAAGAAAGGCAAATGGGGCGTAATGGATATGAGGCGTGCGTTGAAGGATCGGTTGGCGGCGTATAAGATTCCGGTGGAGATGAGGGTTGTGGATGAGGTTCCGAGAAATGCGATGGGGAAGGGTAAGTCTTTTTCTACTCTGGATTTGGGGATGCGTTTGGATTATGGGGCTAATTATGAATGCAGTTAATAAGAAGATGCTTGTGAAGCAAGTTTTTAGTTGATCGATACTGAGATTGAGAGTGGAGGCCAGGGGGAAGAAAAGGGTTCTATGTATCGTTATTGTATAGGAGTATACTTGTACTATAATACAGTCTATCGTCAATCATACATTTTATACACATCAAATACCAAACAGAGTTTCATCCAATTTACATAGGGCAGTAATCAAGCCCACTCACCAACTCTCGTAAACCCAACCCCCGCCTCAACCCCCTCCATAACAACGACCCCCTTCCCCAAATCCACCTCATTAATCTTCGCCTCCACCGTACTCAAAATCCCCATCTCCCCCACCTTCTCCGCAACACCCGACTCTTCCTTAAACATAACTAAGCATTTAATCCCCAAACTCGTTATCGTACCAGCATAGCCCTGAACATATTCTGTCCCTGTTAATGCGGCTTGCGAGAGCGGTTTGTGTAGGATGCAGGTGAAAGTTTCGGGGAGGGTGCATTCGGCGAAGTAGAAGGCGCGGAAGAGCATGTGGGTCGCCCAATGTTGGGCGGAGGCTTTGGAGACGTCGCGGATGCGGGTACGCAGCCAGCGTGTGCGGTGGAGGTAGGTTTCGACGGAGTCGTGGGTGTATGGGAGAACAGGTGTGAGGTCTGTAGAGGTAGAAGGGGTGGCTGCGGCGGCACGCAGGGCGGCTTCGATTTGGTAGTGTGCAAGGAGGTCGGAGTATCTGCGGAGCGGACTTGTTGACTTGACGTATGCATCTAGACCTAGCGTTGTGTGGTGCAGTGGTGTTGACGAGGAGATACCCCGTGGCGCGGCGATGTTGAACCACGATTCACCCCCGTATTCGTGCATGTTGGTATTCGTTAGCGGCGCATATTCCGGATGATACCAAGTTCCATCGAAGACAGCTGGGATGTTGCGCTCTGCGCACCAACGGCCGGAAACCCAGCAGCCGAGGTTCATGAGCAGGGAGACGAGATTTCGTTTTGTGAGATCGGGGACTTCATGGGGATTGTTGTCCTGCGGACGGAGTTGGATAATCGGGTCGCCGAGGATGTATTTCCCTGCTGTAGTGCTGCGCATATTGTAGGGCTTGAAAGGGGCGGAGCCGGCGCTGATGGTGATGGGGGTGTCTGGAGAGAAGGGGAAATCCATGGCGCCGTTTTTGAGGCGGTAGGCTGAGCGGAAAGCGAGCATGAGGTCGCGCATCGTGTGGAAGGTTTGTTCGTCGGAGGGGGTGAGGGTGTTTTGAATGTTTTCACGTGTGGGTTGGTTGGTGAGGGCTCCGCCTACTGTTAGGGGCGGTTGGGGTGGTAACTCTGGTTCGAAGAGGGCGCGCAATTTGTCGTGGGTTATGTAGATTACGTTTCCGGCTGTGCCGTTGCGCACGTCTGTTTCTAGGACTTCTCCCTGGCGGTTCATTCTTGCGCTGAAAGTAAGTGTAGGACGGCCCGGGGCGAGGGAGAAGTTCTTGTATGTTAGAGCTGGTGGGAGCATGGGGTAGGTGCGTTCCGGGGTGTAGAGAGTCTGGTTGCGCATGGCCGCGTACTTCATGATCACGTTGTCGTGTGGGATGAAGGCCGATGGGTTAGCTACGTGCACGCGAATCCAGTACTCGTCGTTTGAGCCGGGAACCGGCTCCAGAGAGACACCGTCGTCAATTTCCTGTGCATCCACATCGTCAACGCAGTAGATAGGCAGCTCACCCCAGTCTGTCCGCAAGTCCTGCATGGTGTCTGTCATTCCTTCTGTCTGGAGTCTGCGGGATTCCATCCGCACTTCCTTTAGCAATTTGTCATTCCGACTAGAGACCCCGTGTCCCGGAAGACCTAGGGCAAGGTCGAGCAGGCGCATATTCTCCCATGGAGTCACCACGCCCAGTTCCTGCAGGAACAGCGGTGCTGTCGCGGCGTCCACTTCCAGCCCACCGTACATCCCGGTAGTGCGGATAATGTGCGAGCCTGACGACCTCAGCGAACCAATAGTCATGCGCCTTGGCGGAATGCACCATAACTGCAGAAACTCGATGATTTTGCGGTCAGATTGATTGAACTTCTCGGTAGCAACCTCCCGATACACCAACGGATTTTCATCCTGCTCTGGTTCGAAACGTTGAGATGTAGGCCCCACGTTTGCCATCTTCGTCGGCGATCGGACTTTTCGACTGAGTTTGATGAGACGACGTGCTTTTTGAGCGAAATCTTGCATCGGATGATCCTTCAGCTTTGGCGTATCTTCACCCATTGCAGACCGAACGAGCATTTCCTGGTGGTCATGGACCCATGTCATGACTGTTTGCAACGTCCTGGCGATCCTTTTCGGTTGCACGAGGTAGTAATCCGAGAACACGAAGCTGCGGTCGTTTTGGATAAGAAATGAATTTTGTGTAGCAGCACGGTGAACAGCGAACAGAACTACATCATCCAGCTCAGCTTGCTTCAGGCCCAACGCCTTGATAGCCAATTCTTCAATCGTGTACCCGACGCTGTCTTCCTCATCCGCCACGAGGTCATGGATGTTATCCAACCGACTCGAATTCTCACCATAGAAATCCAAAACCTGATTGCTAAAAGAGGTCATGCTTTGCAAGAGATGAGCACCCAATGCCCGTGGCACGCCTCCTTCAATGCTTGACTGCAACTCCTGGCTCAATTCGGCAACAGCGTCGGGGAAGTATGCAAGCAGTGGTTCCATGTCTTCCGGCTCAGCGAAACCCTTGAGCACGTAGTCAAGGTCTCTGTGAAATCCGATGCGCCATTTTCCTCGCTCTGTATAAAATTGTTGTTGTTTTTGAACTGATCGCACGTAGATACCGAAAGTCAAACTTCCGTCGGTGCTGCCGAAGTCAGTACCTCACTTTCAAATTGCTGATTAGGAAACGTACGAATGCAACGCAACGAGATCTCCCGGCTCCAAAAATTCATCAATACCCTCGCCCTCATCGCCAATGTTGGAAAAGTCCACCGGCTCTGCGTCCGAGGACTGCAACTCGTCGATACTCGCACCATCGGCCTCCCGATTATCGTTTAACATATTGCCCCTCCACCGGGACGACGTCGCATCCTCCGGTTCTCGAACCGGATCGAGGAGGTTAGGATTCTGTTTCTGCCATTTTACCAGATAGTCCCGGATATCTCTATTCGCCTCGAATTCGTTCTTCAACTGGATTTCTTCGATCGATGCTGTTTGCTTTGCGGTGTCTTGGATAGTGGCGAAATTCTGAAATGCGTTAGCCAGTAATATCCTTATATATATGTGCAAAGACATACCTGACATGTATTGCTGAACGCTCGTTGCGAGTTCGCCTGAAAGTTCGAGCGGCGGCAAATCGTCGGACGGCCAGAGACAACTCTGGCAGCGGAAATGGCTGCCCGGCTGGTTGCACGAGCACGGCCATAGCCCCCGTCTGGAAGTTTCTGAAAAATCCTAGCTCTCGACAACGCCAACGACATCCTAAACCTACGCCAGGAAAGAAAAGAAGAATTGCCGCCGCTGGTCTACTATCAGCGAAATTTTTGTATACTGCCGGCATATAATATGCCACCGCCTAGGCGGTGTCTCTATCATGGTCACAGAATCCCGAATGGGAAACCTCGAGTTTCCTCCAGAGTACTCTGTACAAGTATAGTAAACACACATGGACTGTTTGCTTTCTTGTGATTTTATGGGCTTCAATTTCTCTTCCTCTGTTAGGATACCAGACAAAGACGAGGTATCCAGATCTACAGTCCGCTATGCCCGGAACATTGCAATCCTCCGTTCTCGCTCTCGTTCTCGTTCTCGCATTGAGCAAGCCCAATTCATAGTATCTTCAAATTCAGGGCGAAACATATGCCAAGTGCACCCGTCTTTCTGTCCTTCATGTGGCGAGATAACAGGCTCCTGATAACACCGGTCCACATTCGTCTATTGAGTTTGTTCTCGGGTATCGTGATATCTATCTCGTTTGGGACATTTCTCCGGAATATCATGGTTCAGTCTTTTTCTGGCAATGTATCGCGGCGTGCTCCGAATTCTCCGCACGAGGATGATTTTCCTAGTGGGTATGATGTGGATAGGGCTCAACATCGGCCCGTCCTAGACTGGAAATTTCCCGCCTGCAAGGCACTAAATATGGAATGCAGATTGCTATGGTTTTGACCACTCGTCTTTGATAGAGGAGGTCTTTAATGACTATGACTATTCCGGATATGCGGGGTGCATCGCAGCTATCCTCGGCTCCTGTGCAATCTCATGTGATGGCTTGCCACCTACAGAAACATCGCAGAATTAACGTCCTGACCGTTAAAGAGCTGCTTATCATTGCTTTTCTAGTCCAAGCGAGGATTCCTTTCGAAGCCATGAACCAGGGGCTGCATAGCATCTACACCAGTCTTGTTTCAGATCGACTTGGCTATATCCACTTTTCTTCGGTTAGCAAGTTAACTCTCGCTTGGGCAATTATAGAACTCTAGGTAAATCGCCGGAGACACCCCTTTTGCATCTTTAAGCACAATTTGACTATGCGGATGTAGAAAACAGCGGCATTAATTTTCATTCTGCGTGGCAATTACTTCAACGTAGGTATATCCTACTGTAGAATTCGTTGCAAAATGGATTCTGCAGACCGTAGTTCAGTCCACCTGATCATCGTTCAAACCCGCATTGTGCTAGCATGGCACGAGATATTATCCGGATCCGAATGTACCTCGGATTGGGCTCCGGTCCGTTGACAAACATCAACCCCAGATCGTCGTGATGATGCAGAATCAATCTCGGTTCGAGCATTCGTCGGATTCTGGTTGTTTTTATGGGGCCCCTAATCATCATTACCCCCTCGTTTGGGGTATTAATATGCAAGTGTGGCTCACTGAAGATAATTGCACAAGCATCGTTTGATCTACTTCCCCAAACACCATGAGTCTCAAAGGGTGGTGTGCACTCGCCACGCTCTCCCTCGCCCTAGCCCCGCTGGCGGCAGCCGACATCTGCTCCAAGTTTGAAACCGAGAATATCGAAATCGAGCAGTCTCCGTCTTTGGACTATACTACTGAGTTGCACGACTACTGGTCGCTTGCCTGTGGTGACCTCAAGCCAACATGCATTGTCTATCCGTCCAGTGCCCAAGAAGTGGCTACGATCGTCAAGGAACTGCATCAGACAACTGACTTTTTCGCCGTGAAGTCCGGAGGTCACATGCCGAATACTGGATTTGCTGGTGTTCAGGATGGTGTCCTTATCTCGACCAAGCATCTCAATCAAGTAGTGTACCACGATGATGACAAGACAGCTGACATCGGACCTGGTCTCTCGTGGGAAGATGCGCAGAAAAGATTGGATGGAACCGGTCGAACAATTGTGGGTGGACGTATGGGAGGTGTCGGCATTGGAGGGTACATGCTCGGAGGTGGATTGAGCTTCCTCAGCTCGCAGTATGGCTGGGCTGCCAACAACGTAGTTGACTACGAGGTGGTCCTTGCCAATGGCACTGTTGTTCATGCTACCGAGAAGGAGAATCCCGGTAAGTCGGCATCCATCTTTGGTGAAGAATATATCTAACGAACACAGACCTCTTCCTTGCCTTGAAGGGCGGCGGCAGCAGCTTCGGAATCGTCACCAACTACCAGATGAAGACGCATCCCCAGGACCACAAGGTCTGGGGAGGAAACTACTTCTTCACAGCCGACAAAACCCCCGAGCTCCTCGAAGCCGTCCATGACTTTACCGCAAACTACCCTGACGACAAAGCCGCCATCATCCTGACAGCCGACCACACTCCCATCCTCAACACATGGATCATGTTCCTCTTCTATGACGGCGAATCTCCACCAGACGGCGTCTTTGAAAAGTTCAAGGCCATTGGTCCGACGGACGCCACCAAAACCTGGGACTCCTACTACGACCTGCTCAAGAACAACGACATCTTCATCCTGAAGGGCCAACGCTACGTGATCGGCACTGAGACCACGCCCCTCCCCAGCAAGGACGCCGCATCCGACGTGTTCCAGACCTTCTATGACCACTGGATGAACGTCACCAACAACGTCCTAGACGTCCCGAATGTCATCGCCTCCATGGCCTTCCAACCAATGCCTAGGGCCATCACCAAGAAGGCCAAGGAATTGGGCGGCGTAAGACCTCTCCCATGGATTCAGCATAACGTGAACAAGAATACTAACAGTAAAATGTAGGACTTGATCGACTTCCCCACCGACCAAGACTACATCATCCTCGAACTCGACTTCTCCTACTCCTTCGCCTCCAGCGACACCAAGATCGACGGCGCGCACCAGCAACTCTACAATGGTCTTGACCAGATTATCTCGAACTATGTCGATGAGGGCGTATTACCTGATGTGTATAGACCGCTGTTCATGAACGATGCGTATCATCGCCAGGATTACTGGGGACGGCTGCGTACGGCAGATAAGGCAAAGGAGACGAGAGAGAGATATGATCCGGAGGGATTCCTGCAGAAGAGGACGAGTGGTGGGTTCAGGTTGAAGTAATTGGGCATACGTGCTCTGTGTGGAGTAATAATGTGTATTGAATAATAGCTAAGCTAAGTAACTTATAATGTGATATGTGGAGGTGATTTACATGGGACAGTTAGCGCCGGGTTGTATATATGCATCTCTCGCGGTCCTGGATCTTCACGACACCAATACAAGAATAACATTGCAGCTTCACTATACCCATAAATATCAGAGACACGACAAGCGACAAGCGAAGTAGATCGGTCTCAGATCGCATAAAGTTAACACGATCATTGGCGCTGAACATCCCGGGGAATAATAAAGGTCTTTCCAAGCGCCGGGGTTGTGGAGCTGCCCTTGTTCTATTTTTGCTTTTCTTCGTGGACTTTGTTTTTGATGTGCATGATATGAAGAGAAGAAAGGAAGAAAGGGAATAGTAGGTCTAGATGAGTCTGGCGCTGGATGGTGGCCTAGACTGCTGAGCTGCTATGCCTGGGTGTATGTGTATGTCGGGATGCGATGAAGTATAAAGACTTGTTTCGCGCCCACGAGGAAGATGGATAAAGGAAAGCAGACACTACTATCAGATTAGTTCCCTGAACACTTGACAGACATAATGCACGCCCTCCGAGCAACATTCCAAATCGCGCGCATCTTCCAGTCTTGCGCGCTGATTGCCGTCATCGGCCTGACGGCCAACTTTATCGCGGAGATTGTCAAGATCAATGCGAAACCCCCGAGTATTTTGATTGGAACTATTACTGTGGTATGTATCGTCCATAGAGACTGTATTCAGGGGTTTAACTATGAGTATGAGTGAAGACCTGCATCGCCGTGCTATACTGCATCCTCACCTCCATCATCCTCCTGGATAATATCCTCCCATTGCTCTACTGCGCGATTATCGACACACTTCTTATGACCGCGTTGATCGTCGTTGCGGTGATCATTGGACGACCGTTCTCGTATCTGCAATGCGCGGGTGTTCCCTCTCTCATGCGACGAGACCATGAAACATCAGCGTATGCATTCGCGACGCGACTGAGTGAATATATAAGCAGCTTGAACGGCGGAAAAGTCGACTATGGAAGTTGGATCGGGATATCGAGGGAGGTGTGTTTGGAGGCAAAGTCAACCTGGGGGTTGAGTATTGGGCTATGGTGAGTCCCCGTCCCCTCTCTTCGACGGAATAAGCTAACTGATACTCCGTACAGTGTGTTATTCTTCTCCTCAGCAGTGTGCAGCGGATATCTCTGGCGCATGAAGAAAAAGGCTGCGACTGGAATGGGGAAACTGGATGGATAGTCGCATTGTACTGCATTGTTGTCTTCTAATTCATGTATCGTAATCACCCCGAACTAACCGGGGGAATAATCGCAACCTCATCACCAGCCTGAATCACCCTTCCTTCTCCTTCTTTGTTTCCATCTGCCTCATCAACATCCACATACTCATCTCCAACACTCACACCACAGCTCTGTAGGACCTTTTCGCGGATGCCCGGGTATCGCGACTCGAGAGTGTCGAAGAGACGGTTCAGTGGGAGGGGCGCTGGAAGGGCCTCAGTGTTTTTGTTGATGTAAGAGGACGCGATAGAGAAATAGTGGATTTGGAAGGTTGCCATTGCATGGACTATGTAGTTGGATGGCGAGCGTAGTGGAAGTGAGAGTTGGTGGCTGTGGAAGCGGCAATGGCAGTGGAGGAGTGATAGAGCGGGGTCAGGTGATATCTAGTCCACGGACATGAAATGAGCCATTTTTTATATTTCTCTATTCAGGTACCCTGTATGACCCTGCATATAATTGTTTGCGCATAATTTGTTTGTTTCTTGCTTACAGGATCCGACCCTGCATATTCAGTTGTAACTATGCAATTGGTCACTAGTGGCCACCCTGATGCTGTTCTACGCTTCCACATACACCCGACCCTCACCTCTCGCTCTCCCATACCAAACCTCGACCGTTTCCATTCCACGCTCCTGAAACCAGCTTCAAATAGAAGAATGGCACACGCAATCGACCATGCTCAGAACGCAGTGCATCTCCGAGCTCGGAGATAAGATAATCTCTGCAGCCCATCAGTTACCCGGTTGGGTATACTTCAGGATAAGTATTCTTCCCTAACAACAGCACATCGGACTGGATTGCCCTACACAGCAGATTATCGAAGCATGGAAACACTATCCACGGTTAAACTTCGTCTAAACAATGGGCCTGAGTTGTGAAGATGACGACGTTGAGTTTTATTTCAGGGGCCGGCGAATCTATATAACTTTATTTCCTTCGCTGTCTTCTTTCCGTCTTCTATCAACCAAGTCACTCTTTCCAAGATGCGCGTCTCTCGTTCAACTCTCGCGGCTGCGGCTGCTTCTACGCTCCCTTTGGTTGCTCAAGCCGCCTCCCTGCAGTCTGTTTGCACTACTTCCAATGTGAAGAACGCCCTCCCTCTCGATGTGGCTGAAGGCATCGAACTCGACTCCTCGTCTGTCACCACCAACGTGGTCACCAACTACTCCGTCACCGATGAGAACTACTTCCCCGACGCTACGTTTGACTTTTGCAACGTGACGCTCGCCTACTCGCACGCTGGCAAGGATGACCGTGTCCTGCTGGAGATCTGGCTTCCTACGCCGGACAACTTCCAGAACCGCTGGTTGTCGACCGGTGGTGGCGGTTTCGCCATTAACAGCCAGGAAAGCTCGCTGCCTGGTGGTGTTATGTACGGTGCTGCCGCTGGTCAGACCGATGCTGGATTCGGGAGTTTCTCGAACCAGCTGACCTCGGTGACCCCGATTGCGAACGGCACCAACAATCTGGATGCTATTTACATGTTCGGATACCAGGCTATCCACGAGCTGGGTGTCATTGGCAAAGCGTTCACGCGCAACTTCTTCTCTGTCGCAGAGAAGTCCAAGGTCTACTCTTACTACCAGGGTTGCTCCGAGGGTGGTCGTGACGGTTGGTCCCAGGCGCAGCGGTTCGCTGAGGACCTGGACGGTGTCATCATCGGTGCTCCCGCCATCCGCTATGGCCAGCAGCAGGTGAACCATCTGTTCCCCGACGTGGTTGAGCACACCATGGGCTACTACCCACCCACCTGCGAGCTGGAGAAGATCGTCAACCTGACCATCACCGCATGTGACGGTCTCGACGGCAAGAAGGATGGCGTCGTTTCCCGCACCGACCTCTGCAAGTTGCACTTCAACGTCAACTCGACCATCGGCAAGCCCTACTCCTGCGCCGCCTCCTCCAGCACGGAAATGCTCCGCAAGCGCACCAGCACCACCAGCACCGTCCCCGCCCAGAACGGCACCATCTCTGCCAAGGGCGCCGCCGCCGCAGCAAAGATGCTCGATGGCCTGAAAGACTCGCAAGGCCGCCGCGCCTACTTCTGGTACCAGCCCTCGGCCGGCTTCGACGATGCCGACGCCCAGTACAACTACGAGACAGGCAAGTGGGAGCTCTCCATCACTTCCCTCAGCGGCGAATGGGTCGCCCGCTTCCTCAACCTCGAACAAGCAGAGAACATCTACTCCCTCGACGACGTCACCTACGACACCCTAGTTCAGTGGATGGAACTCGGCTGGAACCGCTATGGAGATGTCCTGCAGACCACCAACCCGGATCTAACCCCCTTCCAGCAAGCCGGCGGCAAGATCCTGCACTACCACGGTGAATCGGACAACTCCATCCCCGCGGCCTCCTCGGTGCACTACCATGAATCCGTTCGCAAAATCATGTACCCGGATCTCAGCTTCGAAGACAGCAACAAGGCTCTCGCGGATTGGTACCAACTGTACCTCGTCCCCGGCGCCGCGCACTGCTCGCCCAGTACCTCGCAGCCCAACGGTCCTTTCCCGCAGACGAACCTGGCTGTTATGATCGACTGGGTTGAGAAGGGCAATTCCCCGACAACCCTGAATGCTACTGTACTCAGTGGCGATCATAAGGGTGAGAAGGGCGAGCTTTGCGCTTGGCCGCAGCGGCCGTTGTGGAAGAATGGGGAGATGGATTGTGTGTTTGACCAGGAGAGCTTTGAGACATGGCAGTATGAGTTTGATGCTTATAAGCTGCCTTTGTACTAGACTTGTATTATAGATTTAGTGTACAGTAGTATATAGTGATCAGTCCAGTAACTCGTTCGTCAGCTGATCTATACAACATTGAATAAACAAATTGCTCAAGACTCCGTACAGATGCATTGATACCTAGTAACCAGAACTTTTATGAACCACAACCTAATAATACACTACCAGGGGATCTATAAGAAACCCTTAGGACCTCCCCAAGACCCCTTAACCAACGCCGAATAATAAACCCAGGGGAAAAAGTCTTTCTTAAGATGATAGAACGCCCTCCGCGGCTCAATCTGATCCCACCCAAACCACTCGTTAAACGACTCCTTCGGCACATTCCCATACTTGAACTCCGCAAGCAGCACTTTCCCGTACTCCGTCGTGATCGGGCAAGATGTGTATCCATCGTACCCCTCAGCCGCAGACCCAGCATCGACCTCTTTACCCTCGAGGGCCTGGGTAAGGCCGCGGACGAGGACTGGTGCCTGGGCTGTGACGGCGGCAGCGGTCTTGGAGGTGGGAAGGCTGGATGCGTCACCGGCAGACCAGACGTTGGAAAAGGTCTTGTGGCGGGTGGTGTTGTCGTTAACGTCGACGAAGCCGGCTTCATTGGCGAGGGGGGAGTTCTTAACGAAGGCGTACGGACCCATTTTGGGGACAACGTGCAGCAGGTCGAATTTCTTCTGGACTTGCTCCTTGCCGCCGACGGAGAAGGTAGCTGTGTTGCCGTTTACGGCGACTAGGTCGTGCGTGAAGAGTCCCTCGACTCCACGTTCCTTGCGCAGTTCCTCCAGCTTAGCGCTGTACTTGGGCACACCGAACATACCGGGCAGTGCTGTCGCGAAGCTAATGTTAATCGACGACGAACCGGGGTTGGTAGGGTTATACAACCCCCGCTGCTTCCAGTGATCCAGCGCAAGCCACATGATCTTCTGCGGTGCACCAGCGCACTTCATCACACCAGCGGGCTGCGTAAACAGCGCCTTGCCCTTTTCCATTTTTTGAATTGTGCCGAACACCTTGTCCACCGTATCGTATCCGTAGATCGACGACACAAGCGAGTCCTTCTCCGCAAGCGCCTCGGGAAGGCCCTTGATTTTATCATAGTCGATGCTAATCCCGGGAACAACAACGAGCTGCTCATAGTTCACTTTATCCCCGTTCGCGAGCGTAACGACATTCTCCTTCGGTGTGAAAGAACCAACACTGCCACGGTACAGCTTGAGCTTCGGATCAAGCAGACTCTGCAATGGCCGACGCAGCTCCTGTTTCGTCTTCAATCCACCACCAACAAGCGTCCAGCCGGGCTGATAGTGGTGCCATTCCGAAGGGTCGACAATGGCAATGTCGTCTTGTGTGAATTTGCCCGTGTCGAGGAGTTGGTGGCTGATTGAGAGCCCCGCGGTGCCGCCACCGATTACCACGACTTTATGGCTTTTGGCCGCGCTGGTGACGGGGGATTGCGTTGCGGCAGTCGCGAAGGACCGGATTGTGCGTGTGGCCGTCGCCGTGCGTGCTGTGCGACTGCAGAGCATCATTTTGTTTGAGGTTATGGGTTTGAAGGTGGTGGTGTTGATGGTCGGGGAGAAATCGGGGTGCTAAATATTGCTTGGATCGCCGTTCTCGGCGGGGAATTGATCACATGACTCCCATACGGTCTTCAGTGTCTCTATCTAGAAGCCCTAGGGGTTTATTCTTTTCATTTGATCCCCGAAGGGCGAAAAGGATGACCTACTCTCCGATTTAATGATCGATATGCATCTAACTTACAGGCGCGAATCTGGACCCTTGGAGTATAAGTTTATCTGACCCTAAGACTTAAGCGTTCCTTGACAGTAGTATTTCTATTCGCCGAGGCGATTAATATCTGAACTCCCAAGCGAGACAGCAAGATCGAATCCCGAAAAGGCAGATGCACTACCGCCAAACATGCTCGGGTACTGAGTGATATTATAGTCCACAACAACAATGTCCCAATTGATAGGTCACGGCGGGCTTGTTTGCCTCACTGTATTTAGGTGCCGATTTGTATTGAGAGCTCCAACATGAAATACCGAACATAATATACGTGTTTTGAGTTACCCTGGGCTTGGTCCTTATTATTTGTGATTTTGACCCGGTGACGAGGGGAGAGAGCACATGTTCATCGGGTGGTATAGTCCAGTCTTTCTCTAGAACCAGGAAGGGAATAAAGTGAATGGAGGCCATATCAAATGGAGCCCCGGTTACAGTGCATCAGGAGCTAAATAGCTATTCCAACCTTTTGACGATATCCTTACCTTTTCTAACGCCATGATGAAACACATAGCTCATGTTGTTCTCCATATCATACCTCCTGAGGATTCAATATGCCAAAGAAGCACCGAAATGCTATAGACATATTATATGGCTACGATATATCATACGGAAGATAATCTAGTGGGCCATTTATTGAGTTGCTAGACACTATTCCTCCTCCAACAGACAACATTCATCGTGGCGTAGGCCATATACAAGGCGTGCAAGAGTGTTTCTTAACCATTATGGCCTCGCCTTTGGAAGTTGTACTGAAGACCATTCACAGGACTATGAATCCCTTCTTTCGTTAATTATATTGTTCCTGTGTGAGTACTTTCTTGTTGGATTCCTATTTAAACCAGAAAACAAAAACAAAAAACAAACAAAAGCAGAAGCAAGAGCCCATGGCGGAAAAGTGCAGTGCTCACATAAAGAGCTCACTGAGAAGCTAGCTTTGCATCCACTTGAGCCTGAGAGCCCATGTACCAGCCGGTCTGACCACATATACATCAGTACTGCAGTGACTGTACCATCCTAGAATTTATTCAAGCCTAGGCTTAGGGTTGCCTTGAATCGGGACTTGAATTGGCATTATCAAACACAGAATGCTTGAGCAAAGGGTATAGTTCTGCTTTCGGCTTCAGCACTTGATCTAAGAGACCTATATGACAATACTATGTCAAATCCATTCAAATCTGACAAGCAACCAAACCAAGAAATCCAGCAAGCCAGTTATTGAACACCCCGTAAGACCGTGCTCGTTCGTCCCTCAACCGTCTTACAAAATCAAGTACTGCGTTTATATATTCTGTTTCCAAAATGAATGCCTGTTCAATTGCCAACTGGACCTTTGCCGATCCCAGCATCATTTACGCTCATTGAATGAGAGTATCGCTAGTTCATGAAACCTTCCTGAAAACACTAAAGTAAGTCACACCAGACTAGTGGTGGGTCCGTTGGCTCTTGGACTAATATCAAGCCGCTTTAAGGAGCACATATTGCTGGACTACCAAAACTGGAGCAGGCAACTCACACTAGTGGATCCATTTTGATTATGCTTTCTTCCTCTGCTCGAAGCGCGGATGACACTAACCAACCATGAAAGGAAATAGATATAGTGCGTAGAAGTTGGGACCAATTGGTGACAGTTACATTTACCCTACAAACGGACGACTGTCCAATGTTTAATGGAATACTATTGCACCGAACGCACCACCTTGGGTTCATCAATACTATACCATCAGGTACAACATCACTGCATTTGGCTTGATATTGTCCAACACGCATCATGCACTTTAGCAACGTGACATATCCCCAAAGTTACTCGATTCAATTCTCTACGAAGCCGTGCTAGATATCTGAACTGATCCCTCCATCCACCCACGAGACATTCTATCTGTCATGTTCAATGCCATCCTTTCTCCACCCCAAGAACAAAAGGAAGCCCTGGCACTTCTACCAGAGACGGTAAACCTGGGGACTGTCTCGTCTGGCTCTGTGGTTTGCAGTGGCGGTGGATGATACATTACACCCATTTCCATAATGCTGGCGCTAGTAGGTAGCCCAAAGTATGTCCACTGAAGAGCAATTTGCATGCGAATATTTCAAACATGCTCGCTGGCGTACTACTAGTAGTGGTACAACGTGACTTCTCCGAGAACCTACATGAACGAAGCTTAATGAAGCCAAGCGAAAGAAGTTCCTCCGTGTAATTGTGCGTCTTGTTTTCCCAGCCCAGTCTATTTCGGAAGTCAACCGATGCAGACGGAGAAGGATCCCCAGTTTTGTGTTTATCTGGCATTCCTTGTCCCAGGAAGAAGTAATAGAGGGAAATGCATGAAATGGTTCGAGTGGATGTGGTAACATAGCTCGCCTCTGGACGACACGCTCCTTTGGATAAAAGGAAGCTGGCTTCCTGATAACGAACGTATGAAACAGCCCTTACAGTGGTACATATTATTCCATATGCCACATGGCTGCGTCAATCGATTTCGCTTCATCAGTTGACTTGTCATGATTGCCGAGCATACGGTTGATTGGTTCTGTTCTGGGCTTATGAAGGCGATATGATATGGATTGGACTTATGTTGTTTGTTGGACCTCTACTATATGGCTATGGCATAGTCATTCGAATCTACACAATAGTGTATTCACATTTGTCTTGCATCCCTCATCCACTACTCTGTACAATGCAACTAGGCCATCTCCTTAAATGCCCCCACCAAATCCCCTCTCAAATCCTCCCAATTCTCCAAACCAACGCTGATCCTCAACAACCTCCTATCAACCGTGGGATCAGACATAGCCCGCCACTCAATCAATGTCTCCACGCCGCCCAGACTTGTCGCGTGCTGCAAGAACGAAAGTTTGCTAGGCAGTCGTCTTGCCTGGTCTTCTTTCTTCATGACGATGGAGAACACAGGCCCGAAGCCGTTGGGCATTTGTTTGCGGACGAATGGCTCCGACTGGAGACTGGCGTGGTAGACAGATTCGAGGTTCGCTTGGATGGCGGCTTCGTCGCTGTCTGGGGCGGGGCTTGGTGTGTTTAGGGAGTTGTGGAGCCAGGTGACTAGTTTGGTTGCATTTTGGCTCTGGCGTTGGACGCGGACTTCTAGGGTTCGGAGACTACGGACGCCAAGCCAGCCTTCCATGTTACCCATTACACTGCCTAGGTATAAGCGGTCCTTGCGCAGTTGGAGGGCCCAGTCTTCATTTTTTGTGGCAATCACTCCGCAGAGCATGTCGCTGTGTCCACCAAAGTATTTGGTACCGGAGTGCATCACCAGATCCGTGCCCCATATAAACGGATCCTGCAGGTTGGGCGGCGCAAAGGTACTGTCCACCATCAAATATGCTCCACGAGAATGCGCCTTCTTCGCATATGCTTCGATATCGAATGCTGTGCCGTGGGGATTCACCGGGGTTTCGAGAAGAATCAGGTCACCGGATTGCAATTCCTCCGCTGAGCAGTCGAGACTCAATTCCTTCAGCCCCGTCAACCGGCTAAACATCTCGACCACACCGTGACAGCCATGGTATCCAGCGCCAATGGAGACCCGTTTGGGGTTCAACAACACTAGTACGGCGTGCAGAGCGGACAATCCGGACGAGTAACTGACGGCATGACCGTGGAGAAGCGATGAGAGGATGAACTCGAAACGGGTGTAGTTGGGAGCGGAAAGGCGGGAGTAAATATGAGTGTGAGGATCTTCGTTATACTAGTCAAATCAGTATCAACCCCAAGGCATGAAAGCTAATGGCTTACGTTTTCCGCGTCCGCGACAGGCACAAGATCCTCGGGATTGTCGGGGTACCGGAACGTGGTAGCAACGTGCAACGGAGGGGCCACATCAGTGACCACATTCACCGGGTCATCGGCATGCAGCGAGAGCGTAGATGGACCGGCGTACTCGAGTGAGGAATGCATTGCGGCGTTAATGGATAACAGATGAGACATGCAATTGAGGAAGGTGGGCGATTTTGACACGTCACGCGTGGGGACTGACGGGTTACCACGTGACTGATCCCATGAAACAAACATCGGCTTATCGATTCCGATCACCGGCGGAGAGAACCCATTCTCGATGGTTCGCGGACAGATCCAGGGACGGCACCTTGGAATTTTGTGCGGTCTATATTGTCAGTAGGGCAACTAGGTTAAACAGGAAGAGAGGGGTCCATACCAATCTCAGAATCAAAGGCAATCGAGATATCATCATGCTCAATGGGGTATTCCGGCATATCCAAGCAAACAAAATCCGCAGACGCATCATCATCTTTCCTAGGCAAGGCGAATTTGGCATCGACAAAGCGGATCCAGAACTTACCAGAACGCATAAAGCTTTCCATGTTGTCCGTACCCTTGAGGACCCAGTTCATGCATTTGCCGTGCGGGAAGTCATTGAAGAATGCCAACAGCTGGAAGACCTTTTCTTGCCGGACAATCTGAACTCGGGTAAGACCTGCTTCCCACTTTTTGTGAATCGGTACCACCATTCGACGGCGAGAGATCATAAAAGATGTAGCGATGCTGTCGTATAGTACTTTGAACCCAGTCACGGCAGCTTCGAAATCATGGAGAGCTAGTAAAGTCAGTAAATGTAAACCAAAAACAGCAAGGTATTAACATACCAGCCAACGACGCAAAATCAAACCGTCGAATCATCGGCTTGACCATTGCCGCCTGCAGAAAATCGCTCAGGCTACTAGGCATTTCAGGACGGACGAGGTTTTCGGCCACCGAAAGAGTCAAATCTTGTTGTGCAGGGCGGTACAGGCTCAACCCCGTTCTGTTGTTCACATCCAGACCCAGCTTCAGCTCGCCAGGACCCAAGTTGATTCGATCCGTAACAGACCCCCATTCGCTAGTAATGAGAGCCCGCAGGTGCTCAGAGAGGATAGTCGGGCCATACTGGTGCTCCACCATACCAGGCTGTTGGTCAATCACGATAACAGTCCCGGCCGAGAATTGAAGATGGATAATTGCCGCTCGACCACTAACTCTGTCATATGGTTGTTCAATAGAAAACGCGCGAATGGGCACATCAGATGTCTTGAGTTCATTCTGCTTAGCGAGCACACCCAGGAGCAACGAATGCATCATTGTACGCTCTTGAACGTCGTGGAATGTCATCAACATCGACCGGGTTCTGCCATCCTCTGTAACCTTGAGCACGAAAGCAGGTGCGCCATCTTCACCGCGCAACAGACCAAATACCACGGGACTTCCGTATCCTAGGATATGGCGAGCGTTGCTGAGGACCTTCACTTTGGGACTGGTAAGCACAGTAACCCGAAATCCTTGGTGGACACTCCGCGTGCCGGTGCCTTCGGTAACAGTAGCGGTTCGCTCAAACAGCCGCATCCGGCATCGTTCGATCGGCTCCGCGGGGAATGCCTTGGGCATGCCGGGATCCATGTACTGGAAAACCTTGAGAGTACTTTCGAAAATCACCCTTTCACCCGCCTCGGGCTTCAGACTCTCCTCCGTCTTCGTGGTGTACTTGACGATATTCCAGATCATCTTGAAATCAGCCTCCTGGAACATGACATCCAATTCGAAACCACGGGGTAATCGGACCCGCATGGAGTTCGTGCGAACTTGCCATTCCACATCGTCCCACGTGGGACCTTTCTTCCGATCCGACTGGATCATCACGTTGACCAATTCACTCTGACTGTTGATGGCAGCAAAAACGTACCAGTCGCTGCGCTCGCGGAGAATGGATAACGCGCAGGGAATCGCATATTGCTGAGTGTCATCTTCCGCGGAGCTCACGTATACGTCGACAAACATCGTCCCGTAACTGAAATGACGAGGGGTATCGCTAAGAGGCATCATAGTAAACATACTAGGGCTATCTCCCGAACGATCCACTAACATGGACCGAGAAGCCGCTCCCGAAAGAACAGCAGACACGTCGGGGGCAAAGAATGGGTATCGTAGCCAGACACTGCTCTCGAAATTATCAGCTGGCTCGAGAGCTTCAGATGCGACGATTTTGGCGAGAATGTTATTTTTCTTGATCGACATAGCCAGCGAGCGCAGGTGATTGAGAATTCCCTGGTGCAATCCGAGAACGTCGGCCATCTGCTTGTCGCCCGTGCTCACGACGACTTCTTGTAACGCATCGACGCTCGATGCGCCATACCGAGTGAGTTCCTCGTGTTGGGTGAAGATGGCCTCGTTGATCCACAAAGATTTGCCCAGGTCCAGAACTGCTTGTCGCGCGTCGATCATCGAGCCGCCTCCTGGACTAGTGGGCCCGCGAGAGCGTGCGTAGGCTTCGAGTGCCTTCCGCCCCTGTAAAAACCACCATGCGGCGGCCCTCATCCATTCCGCCAAAGAGGTCTCCATGAGGGGCTTGACACTCTCTGCGGACGTTCTGAACAAACTGGTATAGCGTGCCACATATTGTTGAAACTCGAAAAACGCAGCATCACCAGCCTGGTTGGCAATCGCTCGCATCGAGATGCGCGGCGCCTGTGGTTGGTACGGGGATACATTACTATCTCGGGTGATGGGACGGCTTTCGTGAGTGTCTCGGGTGGTGGGGCGACCTTCGTGAGTGTCACGGGTGGTGGGACGACTACTGGTTTCGCTGTGTGAATCGCTGTCCGGCTTGGGATGTGCCTTGACGGCTTTTGTCGGTGTGCGGTGCAGGATTCCAGCGTTCGCGGGCTTGATCCCAAATGGGAGCGTAGGTTCCTTGTGGACCGGAGGCTCTGGAGGCACGCTGTCGGATCCCTGGCTGGGAGGTCCTGGAAGGGCATCGTTGGCTGGTGGAGTCGGGTCTATAGCGGAGAAGGGCGGTGTTTCGTAGAGAGAACCGACGCTGGCGGGCGAGCCTGGTCGTTGCTCGCTTGCAGGTGGTACGTTCTCTTCGGCTGGGGAGGGAGGATCGTCTTGGAAAGGAGGGTCGTCTTGGAGGCGAGTCTGCAAGGCACGGCCTTCTTCTAACTGCATCTTTTGACGGACACGCTGGGCAAACGAATTGGAGTCTGGCGACGCTCGGAAGGACAGACGAGACCCGCGCTCGCCCAAACTGAGCGTCATGAGGAAATCTGCATCTTGGGGGTTCTGCAAGAGGGGAGGTTTGCTGTCTGGGATGGTTCTGGTTACATCAGGCGGGTTTGATCCAACGGTTGATGTATCGACTCGCAACTGGGGCGTCCCCTCTCTATGAGGTACCGGTTCCGGTGGAACAGGGACATCGCCGGGTTGGTGCACACTCTGACTCTGACCTTGGCTCCGGGCACGCTTGCGCTGTATTGAGACTTCGATGGTGGGAACATCGGATTCATCACCACCCTCTCCAATCAATTCAGGCGTTGCCGTGGTGAATGACACCTTCAAACCTTGGCGGGCAGGATTCTTTTTCTTGGGTGGCATCATCGTATAATTGGCAGAGTTGCCGGCTGCCGAGGCATTGATTACTTCTTGTGGTGAGGGCCATTTCGATGTGGCAGAACGGGGAGTCGCAGCTGCGGACGAGCCTTGGGATTGGGATGCGGAGCGGTTTGGGCCCAAGAAAGCCTCAACTTGTTGGTCGGTAGAGGATCTGTTCCCTTTATCCCTGTTGAAGAATTTTTCTTTCCAAAGAGACCTTTTTCCGGCAGGCTTGCTTTCGGGGGTAGTAGTAGTAGTAGTAGTAGTATTACTGGCCAAGAAGGCAAAAGGGTCGTCACCAGCCATAATTACTCCCGGAACTAACAACCAAGCAAGACGCAATATGAAATTGCAATATGAAATTTTAGCAAATGGATAGACACGCGACGAATATGTATGCAGGGGAACCGGTCCCCGTCCACAAGTACAATATTCCGGCCGGGCCAAAATGACGCGAAACGCTGGGAGCTTTTGCCCGCAAAGAGAGGGATCGACAGGGGGGGTATCGAAGTTGTGGAGGTAAGAGGCACGAGCACTTGATTATGACGAAATGACGATGGTCTTGTCCGCCAAACACAAGTCAATTGAAGAAGACAAAGAAAGAGGCTGTGCTAGAGTTCAGGGGAGAAGGTCGTGATGGTCGTGGTGGTGGTCGTCGTCTCGGGGAAGGGATGTGGTTGTTTTGGCGGGGTGAGTGGGAATCTTCTGGGGCACTGTGAATACTGATATATCAACAGTGAGCAGGAAACCAAGACTCTGACAATTTCAGTCTCAATGATGAAATACTCACAATGGCGCCTCTGGAGTCTGAGCTCAGGGGATTTCTTAGGCCGAAGCTGTAGTGAGGCTAGTCGCAACCTTAGCCTCGGAGATGAGATATGCTTGAGATTAGATGAATGAAGATATACGGAGTAGGCACAGGAACAAGACAAGCAAGGACAGAGGAACAGACAACAGAAACACAGAGAGAAGAAAGAAAAAGAGAGACAGCAACCGCCGGCAGTTGTGCTCAGACAGGGTCGTCGTCGTCGTCGTTCTTTGGCGGTTTGGAGAGGCACCCGCGCTATACCCGATTGGGATGCATTGTGTTTCACTGCTTTATTTGATTGGCATACTATATCTGTACATGCTTGTACCATGTAGTATAAAATCCCTTGATTTATATACGATGACTGTCTTGTATTTTATTATAACGTCTTTGTCTATACCGTGCATAGTGCAAGTAATCTCTACCGTGTGTACTACATCCACTCTCTGCGGCAGCTCTGAAACGGCACTAATCATTCCTGCCGACACTAGCCTGTCCACGGCTAGTATGTCTCGCTGTCGATTATCACGTGAAACACTTACCACAAGAATTGTTATACCGATTATTTTTGAATTTTTTTTTTTTTTTAAAAAAAAAAAAAAAAAAAAAAAAAAAAAAAAAAAGGAAAGAGTCAGAGAAGGGTATGGGTACGACTACAGCACTTACTCTATACAGCCGGCATGAGTCTCGTCTAAGGCGGTCAGCAACGCGTAGTCACCAGCCACCTTATCCACCTTATCTACGCCAGCCACGCGATAACAGTGCATGGTTACTGTCTCAAATCCATATATGGCCTATGCCGGTTTACGAGCATACGACTAATTTGTATGGGGTACACAGTATGGAGAAGTTGGACTACAGCACTGGCCTGAGTCAAAGTAAAAGTGCTGACATGAGACAGCTCGAAGGCCATAGTGCAAGTCGATTCTACTACAATAGCTCCATAGATTGATGATTGAAACTCACTTCAGCACTAAGACCAAAAGCAAGATACTCCAGAAGCAAACTAGTACCGCCACTAACCCTTCTCTAGGATATCCTCAACCTCAGTCTCCATGGCATTCAAAAACGCGCTATAAGCCTTGTACGACGCAGAAGATTGTTCCTTTGTATACCCATGCGCATACCCCGTCTCCTTCAGAGCACCGAGAAACTCCGCGAACCGACGGTGGAAGATCGGAGTGACCAAGTGGTCCTCCGAGGCGACAAGCCCGGCATACTCATTCAGCGCCATGATGGTGGGCGTGTAGTCTGTCACTCAACATGTTTATCATACCTGCAAAATGATAGGAAGGATCACTTACCGATCGTGTTGACAATTGACGGGGGTAGCCCGTACAGACAGATATAGGTCTTCTCATCCATTCTCGAATCCTCTCCCTTGTCATACAGCTCAGCATCTAACTTGCAATCTGCCCAGTCACGGACGGTCATGCACTCCGCAATTCGCTGTCGGTCAGCATCTGTCGCACACCCGAGCTTCTTTTCCTTGTACTCGGAGATGTACCTGTGGCGGCAGGGTCGACTGGTCCTGGCGAGGATCCAGTCTTCGCCCCCTTGCTCAGGCTCTTCTTCGTAGGGCTGCATGAAGCTGGCTTCGAGGTTGGGAATTGGCATGTAGACGCTGTCAAAAGTGATGATCTGGGAGTCCTGGGGGTTTTCGTCGTCGGTCGCAATCTCGTTTGGATCGAACATGAGCTCTGAGGCATTGCCGAGGAGTGTCTCTTGACGTTCCAGCTTGGCCATGGTCTCGTTTAAGGAAGCTTGGGACATTTTGTTGTTAGTTGGTAAGTCCTGTTGTGCCGTTGTTGTAGTGGTAGATCGGTTTCAGGATGGTTGAAAGGAGAAGAAATATTTGCAACTGCTGGGCTACGAGATCAGGATAATATATCCCAATAGTAGGCAGCATATCGGAAAAGCTCTTTCGGGCAGGTTGAATTCTAGATGTCTTGAGCTCCGACGAGGTTGATTATCGGACTCATGGAGTGGAATACGTATCACAGCGTCAGTTTAGGCAGCGCAACAGACAGGCCCCTATTTCTGTATACGTGACGACCAGGGCCTCAATCTTCATATAGCAATCCCAATTCCCAAGTAAATTGATATGCCAGTCAAATTCAGTAAAGTTGTGTCTCTTCCTCCTTTGGAACCTAACTTATTTGCCGCTTGAAAATGATGACAGCATCATCCCAGGAACGCACAAAAACTTTCAAACCCTTGGACAAGACAGACGGTTCTTCCCCCCAATATACACAGCTGTGTATCCTGACTCTTCTAAGGCCTCGATGAAGTCCCAGAACTGACGGTGGTATATGGGCGTGACAACGCGGCCCACCAAAGCAATTACTGCTGCATATTCATCTAGCGCCAGGATGATGGGCTCGTAGTCTGTTTGTGTCAACCTATAGCTGTATTAATAATATATCACTTACCAATCTTCCCAATAATAGACGGGTGCAGCCCGCACAGACAGAGGTATACATCTACATCAGCCCGTATACCATCTCCAACGGTATACAATTTAGCATCCAATTTGCAGTCCCCTTCATAACTCACTGTCTGGAATTCTGCAATCAGCTCTTTATCAGTATTGGTTGCACAATAAAATTTACTCTGCTTATATTCCGAAATGAATCGGTGTCGGCATACGCGGCTTTCGTCCTCAAGTTCCTGGAAGTTATCATCGTCGCTGCTGCTACTTGGAGTATTGTTAGTGTTGAACATAAGCTTAGTGAGATTTTTGGGTTAGCTCTCGTGATGATGCTCGTACATGGTGTTATCGCTCGTAGTTGAAGGCACATTGTTCCTATGTTGCTGGATGAGTGATGACAGAACAGGCTGCATATATTTCAATGAGTCTTTCGGGGCCATTACTCGAGCTTGCATCACGGCTAGGGCCTCAAATCTTGGTATTCCATTATTTTGCTATACAAATTGGATAAAGATGCTTTCATTTTCTTCCTGCTTCACAACCTAGCTCAATCACCTCCAAAACATCCTCATCCATACCGTACTATCTTCATTGCATTAGCGTCTATTCTGTTTTCTATCTCTTAAAGTCGTACCTTTCATTAAACCCGATATATTTTGGCGTCCCTACCACCAGCAAACGTCCAGCTCAGCCCATGTTTCATAACTCTGAAATTACTTTGTCATGCGCAAGCGCATAAACAGGCCAAAGGCCATTGCTAATACACTCCATTTACGGCTTTGATCCTTGATAAGCGCGCTTGTTACAAATATTAACCGGCGGCAAGCTGTCGTACGAAAATGACCGCACGAGAGGTCTGGGGAGGATAATTCTACGAAGAACAAGCCCATCTACCGTTATATTGAGGGGACATGTCGCCTTGGCTCTTTTAAGGTCTGGATCTACTTGCAGCGATCAATGTTCACCAAGATGCAGCGCCGTCCGGGCGAGTGTGATTTCATAGGCAGGAGGCGGGGCTGTTAGGCCGCTGGTACCATCTTTATGGGGTACTTTAGTACGGAGGGGCCCTGAATATTCTCTGTCATGCGGCCTCGTTGTCGCTCCTGGATAGAGGATCTCCTAATCTGGAATCTCTGACTTGTAAATTGCGGTGGTTTATTCGTGTTGTTGGAGAAATGAATCTTCAACTGTTAAGATCATAGTCGCTGGCAGTCAGAGCGTCCCGGAGCTTGGGAGAGATAAGTGGCATTGGATATTTAGCACCAATCTGAAGTCCAGGTGATTGTTGGAAGGTGGTTGCAAGTACCCAATGCGAGCTTAGAGCCCTTGAGCGTCTTTAAGGCTTCCGGCGGACGTAAAACCTGCTTCGCGGGAATGTCTAAGATACAAGGACGATGGAATCCCATATGGCTGCCCTCAGACTAGAAAACTTCTATCGGACGGTGACCATTCATGCCGCGTTGCAAATCACAATGGAGTATCGGGCGCAGCTGCAGAATGAAGAAGGGCTGAGTCCCATCACTTTGCGACTGATCTACTGGCGGTGCTAGACAAGGTTACGGATTGGTTCTTGAAAATCCACGAGACCGATGAGACCAACGTCAAAGGCTAACTGCTCCTGAGTTTGGTTGCAGCGCAGATTGACGGGCTCAGGCGCGGTTTGGGAAAGGAAGAAATTGCCAAGTTGCTGATTCAAGCCGTGGAGGACGTTGGAGAGAGATGCTTGCCGATTCTGGAAGACATGGTAGCCGCCCAAGACCAAGGTACTGACCAGGTATTGTGTGAGGCAATGGAGGAGAAATTGAACTTTTTGGAGAGTACAGTACCTTGACTGCTTGTCTTGTCGTCGCTCACAATGAAGCAGTCAGAACTCAAGTTTGACAGCCAGGGCAACGTTGATCTGATGAGTTGGATGTACGACGAAATCAGCACCGGATCGCCGTCAGTCTAATAGCGAGGGTTGTCTTCAAGATAGTTACATGTATTACTTTAGTCAGGATGCTAAGCAATCGTGAGAGAATGTGGGGAGGCTATTAATAGTACCTAGCGATAGATTGATAGTTAGCGATAGATAGAAAGAATTCAGTTTAGCTTGAGTATGTATCTCTCCTTGCATGATACTGCCTGATTGATTGGGCAGCAAAGTCACATGCTCAGCCATGTAACTGAATCACATGATTCTAAGTCCAAAGTATTGCACACTGAATACAAGTAAGTTGATAACTATGCCTTGCTTCGAGATGGCGTTCAAGAGACGATCGATAGCGCTGCCACTATTCAATGGCACATCCCTTTGCTGACTTGTCAGGATGCGAGGAGGATCCGATGTCAGCATTTAGTGTTTGTACACCTGTACAGAGTACGAGCATACAGCCAGCAATAGCATAGTAGCAGAAACATAGTCTCGAGTATAATACGGAGAACTATTGAGACTGTAGATTGGTGCAATATCGCCGTGTCTGTCCTACCGAAGACATCCCCCCCCCCCCCGGTAACACTACAGAATTACACAGAAATAAGAATAGAATAAGGACAGACTGAATGTCTCAGTTGGTTCTCTAGCATAGAGTAGTGCTAATTGATAGTGCCAACTACTCTGTAATTGTATGTTCCAAGTATAGAACACCGCCTCGATTATTGGAAATCTGAGGCGCAGCACCTCCCGATTAAGCCATTTGAGCTCTCTCTCTCTGTGTCGCTGGTTCTCTAACTGTCACTCCCTCACTCTTTTCTTCTTGACTCTCATTTTCCTACTCACTTTATCTCTATTGTTTTTTCCCCCTTCCACTCGTTACCAACTTTTCCCTCGCTGTTTCACCTTCTCTCTTGACTCCCCGCCGGTTCCCACAGTGATGCGTCGCACCCCCTGACCAACCAGAGTTGTCCCTTGGTTCTCTGGGGAAGAAAAGAAAAGGATTAGGAAAAAATAAGCAGGAATTAAAAAAAAAGAAAAAAAAAGGATTGTGAGAATACGGAATACCTGTCGAACTTTGTCAAACTTGTCCTCCGCGCACTCCCGACTGCTCGATCGCAAATCTTCCATCTCCGTATCGCATCGCCGGAATCAGGCAGAACGATTAACAGCACATCTCCCACTTCCCGAATAATCGCATCGCGCAACGTGGATTGAATCGTTTACGAGGGGCTGACCTCCCCGAGGAGGTCATCCCGGTCACGCACAACGGTCGTGATGTCTACCAGCCACGACAACGATGGATGGCAGCAGAGGAAGGATGATAAGAAGAGGCGGAAGAAGATCTCATCTTCGGGAATGTGGAATGTACGCGGTGGTGGATTACAGAGCTGGGAATGGCCGGATCCATTACGAGGACGGAGGCGACGGAGACGATTGCGTCGGGTGGAATTCGGGATGGATTGGATGGTGGTGATGGTAATAATGGTGATGTTGTCATTGATGTCTCCGGCGAGTGCGGTGTTTCTGGATTTCGATAATTGCTTGGATGCCACTATCGCCAACTCGAATCCTCTACAGCTGCAGTTTGTGCCTTTCGACGTGAACGTGTGGTTCGACTTGACTGATCCGCTTCGTCCGCTTAATATCACCGTCTACGGCAATGTCTCTGGAACGGCCGATCAGCGCTCCGACTATCCTGCTCCTGATGATCCACAGTGGTTGAACGTCAGCAATACCGTCGGGAAGATTGCGGATCTTAGTACGTCGAATAACAAGTATTCTACACTACTCAAGTCCGTCGACGTTGTCAGTTTCACTCCGTACAGTGATGCGTCTAGGTTCTGTGATTCCGTCATTCAAGGCGAGTGTCCTTTGGGACCTGTCTTTTATGCAAATTCGTGAGTATACGTCCTAAAACATCATGGCTCATGCTAACCTGGTTATAGGAGCGATATTCCCGATTTACGTGCCTTCACCTTCCAAGAGGATATGCAGTCCTCGTATCATTTCGCAACCTTATCGTCACGGCTGGTGGTCAAATCGGGCGACGCCTCGGCTGAGCAGCTAGCCTGTATATCGGTTGACATCACCCCCGATCTTGGTTCATCTCTACGAAACACACTGGCCTTTGTGCCTCTCGTCATCCTGCTTCTGGTAGGGCTTGCGACGGTCGTCGCCGCCATCTACAGTCCATGGGGTACAACGGATTCGTTCCGTTGGACGAGTAATTATGGTCGAGACGAGGATGTGCTTCGTCTGGTCACGCCGGGGTTCGGGGACTGTCTGCAGTATATCCAGTTTGCCGTGTTGACAGGAGGTCTGTCCTTGAACTATCCCGGGTATTATCAGCCCGTGATGAGCCAGCCAGCCTGGTCGGCCCTCATGTTCAATCAGAGCTTCGTGAATCCTGGAAAGGAACGAAACCCTGTGATAGATGGGATCTACGCTGTCAATGCAACATATGGCCTGGATCGACTGGAACATCTTGTCGGCATGGCGTCTGCCCAGGACATCTGGCCAGGAATGATGGTCTGGTTGCTAGTCATCGTGGTCAGCATCACGCTTCTGATCCAGATAGCGTTCGCCCTACGCTGGGTCCATCACCAGGTCGCCAACATCCCCGAGGAAGATTTACGCGCGAAGAATATGCCTTTTACAGTAGGCAACGTCGTCCGCATCGTCTTTAATTTTCTGTTTCTACCTCTCATCTCGCTTTCCTTCTTTCAACTGGTTATTGCCGGTGATTCTCCCGCATACTGCGTGTTTTTCGCTGTCGTGGTTATTCTAATCCTAATCGCATTCTCCATCTGGACCATCCGGTTGATCGCCACCACCCGTCCGAAATCCTACCTTTTCGACGACCTTTCTACCGTACTATTGTACGGTCCGCTCTATAATACGTTTAATGATGATGCAGCTGCATATGCTGTTGTTCCTATCCTTATATCCTTTGCCCGGGGCGTTGCCATCGGTGCTCTGCAGCCGTCAGGAATCGCCCAGGTCGTCCTCTTGGCCATCTGCGAGGTTGTCTCCATACTGACGCTCGTGGCTTTCCGGCCCTACCCTTCTCCGACATCTATGAACCTATATCACATCTGCTTTTCCATTATTCGATTTTTGACGATTCTGCTCAGCGTTGTTTTTCTTCCCTCTCTTGGAGTTTCTGAGGCCGCGCGCGGTTGGATTGGATATGTTATTCTTCTACTTCATGCTCTCGCTCTTGTGTTTGGATTCTTCTTGAATGCCTTGCAGACCTTGATTGAAGTTATTGCTCGGCTTGCTGGTGCTGGTGGCAATGAAGGGAATATCACCCGTGGTGGATTGGTCAAGGTTTGTTCTTGTGCCCACGTGTTCTTGGATTACAGGCTAACTTGAAAGGTCTTCGGTATGCGACAATTGTCCCGTCGCGAGCCTCGTCAAGATCTTGGAACCCGTCAAAGCATGGGCTCTGAAGCAGGCATGCTCACGCCCATCGATGGTCGACTATCATCTCAACTAGACTCACGAGCTAGAAGCATGTCCGGAAGTTCAGCCCTGTTGCTCGGTAGAGCAGGTGCCAGCGATGGTAGAGCTAGTGCTATGCTCGACACAGGAAGTGCGCAAGGTGGAAACAGCAGCCGGGCTAACAGCAGTGGACTCCAATCACCCATCACACCAAAGGCCAACGCGGCTTTTCCTCCTGTTGGCTCAGCAGCTGGTAGCAGTGTGTCCAGAGGCAGTCCGTTGCTCAGCATGCATTCGCATGATCCGTACTATCGTCCACCCCGTCCACGAAAGAAGACGTTAGACACTGATGCTTCTGGGTCTGTCCCTGGTAATACGCCACGGACGACGCATTTTACGGAGGCGGCTGAGGATATGATCGATGGCCCCTCTAGTAACCGCGGGGCACCTGTGCCGGCTTACCTTTCCGGCCCCAAGGACGACCTCGATCTAGATGACCCTCGACCACCACGGAAAGACAAGGACTACGCTGTTCGCGAAGTCGATTTCTACTATCGAGTCCGTGGTCCGCCACTTTCTCACACGGGCACCCGCAAACTCAAAACGGGTCCCGCGGATCCCACTGGTCCTGTTTCTTCAGCGACTGGGTGGTTCCGGAGCCTGTTCAGGGGCAAGACTAAAGAGAGCGGCAAGGGATTCGAAGTGGTGCGTAGTGCCAGAGCACCGCCACAGGGTCTTTTTGTAGAGGGCGAGGAGTTTCATGAACCGTACCGGGATGAACCGGACGAGTCGGGTGCTGCTAATGCCACCCGCCAAGCCCCAGATCAAGATCCGTCGTACCATGATTCAGATGGAGAAGGTCACAATAACAATGATAACAACGACAACAACACCGAGAGCAACGGCAATGGACAGCCAGCCGGTGGCATACCTAGTTTACCACCTGTTGACTCCGGTGGCGGTATCGAACTCCCAAGCCGCATGAACTCCCAGCACAGCTCACACGCCCCCTCAATATCTATATCCAGACAACACTCCACCAGACAACCCTCAATGTCATCAACTGGACCCCTTGGTGCCGTCGCCGAAGACGAACCACACGATCCTACTCAACTCCAACCAACCGTCGGAATGGGTCGATTCCCATTCAGCGCCACCAGTTCCCCGTCACGAGATCGTGACTTCTCTGTCGCGTCGTCGACGGCACATTCAACTTCGTCGAGTGCTATCGGACGAGGAGATAGTGGGCGGTCGCGCGGGGGACGGCCGTCGAGTATGGGGTATGTGACGTCGCATCGGACGCAGGATAATATCCATGAAGCGAGTATGGATCAGATGTCGTTTAGTGGAAGTGCGGCGGAGTGGGTGGATGAGGGTATTGCTGAGCCGGAGCATGAGCATGGGCCTGAACATGGCCATCAGCATGGGCATCAGCATCAGCATCAACATCAGCACTCCATCGGTCCGGAGCGGTGATTACTCTTGCAATTCCTGCATAATACCTTCCTCTTCTCAATCCTCTCCTCAATATCCTATATCGTCGCTCCTCGATGTCAAGATAACGAATCTTTTTACTGTCTGTTCTCTTTTGTATATCGACTTCGGGGAAAAGAAAAGAAATCTGCTTGGCGTTGTGTGATCTATCTTGGTGTACCCTTTACCCTATATACGTTGGGTCTCTTTCCTCAGTTATAGCGCTTCTGTGTATTTATTCTTGGGGACAAGATCATTGTATAGTGCAGAGGCTTTGGTTCTTGTATGAAATTTGGGATTAAGGACTTTAACTAGCGGGGTTAACTATGTTATGCTAGGATAATTGTATATTTCTGTATTTTATTAGTTATCATTGGAGGTCTCCATATATATAGAACCCCGCGGCGATTTGGGCGGTACAACGCCACAGCTTCTTTCCTCTTCTTTTCTCTTTTTAATATCAGGGGTAAATAGGAGTAGTTACCATTGACCTTTCCTATATTCACTTTTATATTGTATATTTCTCCTGATTATGACTGCTGACTGACTGCTGACTAGCGTCACGAGACTTCGGATTCCTCCTGATATCCCCTCGTGCTCGAGTTATCGGTCACCGACTCGTCACCACACAACAACTTCTTTTCCTTGGACTATCTTTCTTGGTTAATTCTATACGATTACAGATACAGATACTACATATACAGCAAGAGAATTCTACGATATATTATCTTGCCACGCCAGTCGATGACGCCCCCGGCCCCGACAAACGGCGGAGATTGATCCTCCTGCGATAACAAATCACCCCTGGTAATACGGCTGCATTTCTACGAACTTGATTTATTACGAAGTCCGTTTTAGTTACGAACGATTCATGTCTACAGCCTTGAGTCTGGAAACAAGGCATGCAGGAAACATAAACATGGAACGACGGAGAGCGGATACCCTCGGTGCGCCGGATCGCAAGAGATCGAGGTTAGCTCTCTCGGAAGAAGAGCCATCATCGTCCTCGTCATCTTCATCCAGGGCAGGGTCATCATTCACGGCGCCCATCGACCTCACCTCCTCCTCCCCTTCGCCACCGCGACAACCACCATGCCCGCGTGCGCCTCCGCGCCCCTCGAGTCAAAGCCAAAGCCAAAGCCAATGGTCGCCCAGCGACGGAACGGATTACATGGAATACGTGCGTCCACGATGGCAGCCAGACGATGAGGTAGACGAGTGTCCGATTTGTGAGGTTCCGTTTAGTTTCTGGTACAGGAAGCATCATTGTCGGAAGTGTGGGCGCGTGGTGTGTGCTTCGTGCTCGCCGCATCGGATTACGATTCCGAGGCAGTATATTGTTCGGCCGCCGGTTGTGCATCAGCAGTCTGTGCCTGCGACGTTCGTGCCGATTCGTGTGGGTGATGGGGGTGGCGGTGGTGATAGGGATGGGGATGGGGACACTCGTGGTGGTGGTGTTGGTGTTGGTGAGGCTGGAGTCCTTTCGCCTGCGGCGATTAACCCGGCGCTGGGAGGAGGCGAGGAGGTACGGTTGTGTAATCCATGCGTGCCGGATCCGAACCCTGAACCGCCGCGCGTGTTTGTGCAGTCGAATCCGCCGCGGCATCGCTCGTATCATTCTATGTCTGTGCCGAGACAGCGGCCATCGTATGGCGTTGGCACTGGCGTTGGTGTTGGCATACCCGCTGGTGAAAGTTCCTCGCGCCCGGGGCGGAGGACTGTCGGGTCCAACGACTATCCATGCTTTGGTGGATTAGGGAATCTATTCGGTGGAAGTGGTAGTTACCAAGAACAACCGTCGCGGTTTGGATCCTTGCCCAGTAGTTCGCAACAGCGTCTGCCATCTATCCGCGATAGCAGCCGCCCATCCCGCCCGCGCCGCCAAATCAGCGAACGCGATATATGTCCAATCTGCAACAACCAATTCCCACCGCTAAGCGAGGGCAGTGAAGAAGCCCGCGAGGCGCATATCCGCGATTGCATCGAGAATCATGGTCCGCGGGTGCGATCGTCTCCTCTAGCTGCGAGCGGTAGTACCAGCGGAACTGGTACTAGTACTGGCATCGGCACCGGCACCGGGCGTACAGGTCCAGGGCCGGTAGTACAACCCCAGCCTCAACTACCAGTGCGAATGGTTGCGTTTACCGCGACGGAGAAGGATTGTCTGGGACATGATGCTGAGGCACAAGAGTGCACGATCTGCATGGAAGAATATGAGGTTGGACAGCCGCTGGTGAGGCTTGAGTGTTTGTGCAAGTTTCATAAGAGGTGTATTGTGGAGTGGTTCGAGAGGAAGAAGGAGTGTCCGGTGCATAAATCTTGACCCTCCCCTTCTCTCGCCCGTGTTTTTCATGAGTTCATTTCTTTTGGTTTTCCCTGGTTGTGTTGGATGGCGTTGGTCGATATAGAATATACCTACCCTTTTCTGTCTTTTGTCTTCCCTTGTTGTCGATGTTGGTTGCTTGAACCTGCTGGATTCGTTTTGGAATTGGGTCGATTATATATTCCCTGATGTATGCGTTATGTTAGTGGTTATTTTGCTCTTGTCATAGCGGTGGTTGGCGTTGCTAGATGGTCTGCATTAATGGATTGTTTTCTCAAAGTATCGAGTCCAGTAGTACCCGCAATCCGGTGAATGGATAAGGGTGAATGTAGCGCTCACGTCTATCCTGACTTTATTTTATGTCACTTTCTCCTCTTCATCTCCCATCTTCCCTCGTCCTTCACCTACCAAGCTGGAATTGATAGCTAGAGAACTCGCTCGACGACGCAAAGAGCTTTACCTTTCTGAGTAGCTTTTATAGTATATGCTTCGAATTTCAGATTGCATATTGAATCCATCCCTCATCGATTTACAAATCCATCTTGGTCAAAGAATCTGTCAATGGTCGACAGTCCATGCCACCGACACCAATAGACAAGACACAAAAAGCTATGATAAATATCTTATCTCCGAAGCTTCAAATATCCAATGGACAAATAGGCTTCATGCCCATATCATCCAAAGAGCTGGATGCTGCATACATACGCTCTATACTGTCTAGATAAAGAGTCGGTTGAAGGAGCACTCTACCGCAATGTCAGACCCCACGAAATGCGATGCGTTGTCTGTCTTGGAAAATTGCTATCGGCCTTGAGGCAGGGTTTTACCCGGCCAACCTACTCGCCAGAGTTGAGGGGGAGTTGTCATCGGCATTGAAGACATGATAGCTCGTTTACGTGGTTTACTCGTCCAAGGACTATGGCAGCACTGTTCTTCCGCGAACCAGCTTTCAATTCCTCTTGTGCAATTGCTTTACATGATGGCTATCACGTCTTAAACATGTGCTAGGCATACCAGGCATGCTACAGTTGAAGATGACGCTGCGAGCGCTCGCTGAACCAAGAGAATTAAAATTCCGTCAGTGTCAGTGTGTCTGACACGAGCAGAAATACAAAGTATGCATTCCATTAATAGGAAAGAAACTTAGTCCGCAGCGGAACTACATGGACAGGGAAACATACCTAGTATGTCAGTGGAAAAGTCTCGACGTATTGATAGGGGGCCCACGTCTGTCACTGATCCTAGGCTGGCTGCTACGTACCCTGTACTTTGAGATTCACGGCTGCGTTTGTGCACCAGATGGTCAGATGTGATTAAACGATGGTTCTAAGTCTGGATACCTGAGCTTGGGCGAAATTGCATCCGAGGAATGGAATATTCTGCACGATGCATGCGGGCTCCTACGGTCGAGCTCGTTGCTTCAGGATAGCGGTATCCTTAAAGACTTAGCAAATTCTGTGAATGGATGCAGGACAATACATGGTGTGTTGTGACTTTACGCTGGCTCACCAACCAAGGTCAACCTGATGCAGTGCAGTCAAGCTCTAAGTGACAGTTGACGAGACAGCTTGGCGCATACAAGAAAAATATGCTAAGCTACTGCTCTTACATCCACAAACGAGGAGCTTTCATTTTTCCCAGAAATTTGGGACCTTCAGTTTACAGCTTCGTCTGCTTGTCCCTGAATAAATGGGTATCCTATGATATCGTTTACCTGATGAATCTAGCCGCGCTTCGCAATCATGGACGCATTTACCGAAGAACGGAAAGTTGAGAGCTTGGAGGGAGAATATAATACCAGGGTCTCAACCAATTGTTTCCTCTCTGAAATTTTATTGGAGACATTGACCAATATCGCGGGCATTTAACCCCGGTATGAATGGTTCGATCCTGAGACAGATGATGACCTGTTAGCCTCAAACTTTCAGATCTATTCCATGAATTTCGCAAATCACAGGCGTTGGGCAACTACCTCGCTCGTCCACCTCAAGAAGGCCACTATGGAGATTATAATGCCATACACTGAAGCAACGCTGCACCCGAAGTAAACCAAATGGAATAGGTATACACCGCCGAATAGCAGGACGCCCTGGCAAGCAAGGCAGACAAAAACTTTGACCAGACATACAACTCTACTTACCCAGAGAGAACAACGAACAGGTCTTCGTATCCATCTGTTGCGTTTCCAATCAATACCCTGCCTTCCGAACCGGTTCGGTGCTGCCGGCATTGAGGAGGGTTTTCCTCTAGCACAAAAGAAAAAACTCTCAGTTGACAATATAAATATTCGTAAAGAGACCATCTCAAATGATCTACCTACTCTCGAATGAGAGACCAAGCCATTGAAGGCAAACGAATTGCGTTCATGTCAGACGCATTTTGGAGAGTTTCGCTTCGTCTTGCTCGGTTGCAGGACAACATGATTTATCTCGTTCTGTGCGTATATTCTCTTAACCCGTGAACTGGATTTTCAGTATAAGAGAGACTGAAGCTCGTCTACCTTGACTTTTTTTGTCAAGTGCTGTGGTCGGAGTATTAACCTCCGTCAACCTCCAACAATTCTTGTGCAGATATATTTCCTTTTCGATGTACAATCAAAATATGTTAAGCATGATACCAACACAAGGGCGATTTAGGAGTTCTCCTAGAAACAAAATGTGCTACAAATGGCGGGACGCGAATGTGTCGAATGCGTTCTCTGGCAGGTAAACAACACTAAGAGGTGATAACCAGTCTCCATTCTCAATCGTATGAGGGCGTTTTCAAGCTGCTCAAATAAGTGCTGTTGGTTGATGCTATGAAATAGAAATGAAACTCTGAGTAAGAAAGTGGTTTAATGAGTGTCTATTCGGGAATTTAAGACTGCATTATTCCGATACGACATGGCTCAGCAATAATTATCTTGCTGAGCTTAAAGCAATGACACGCAAGGATCGAGAATGTACTAGAGCATCTTGGTTCACCCAGCAGGCTTTATGAATGAATATTTGTATCTGTTTGTTGTTATCTCTGAGTGTGATGGTGTGTTGTGTCATAACTCGTGTTTGCATTGAGCCTGCAATCGAAAAGTGCTCTATTTGAGAGGTGGGCTCATTGCAGTGTAGACCAGTTTTACGCAGCAATTGACGAGATAGCCTGGAGCAATCACAAGTGACACTAAGCAATTGTTTTTACATCTACAGCTGTAGAGCCTTTGCCGTACCCGGAGACTCCGGATCCTTCGTATATACCAAGGATGAGGAGGCAATTTACCAGCTTCTGGATGTGAGAAGACCCTTGGAATGTTTGTTTTCGTGTTATCCCAGATACAGTTTGAATAATTCTGTTGATTCACGACTCCGAACGCATCTCCGAGAGACAGGAGGTAAGGGGATCGGCCATTGGACTCCGATGAGCCATAAGACACCCGACCAATGTCTCCATCAGATGTCACCTTTGTCTACCATTCTGTTGGATGTATTGGCGAGAACTCTCTCTGTGTGACTAAGATCCGGGTTTCAAGTGGATAGAGCCCGGGGCGCTAATCGTCTGAATCGAGTTGATGAATGCTTTTGCAAATTTGTGTGTATTGGGCAGTGAGATAGCCCATCCATTTTGGAACGCCACCCTCAAAAGCATAACCAAGCCATATGCGGAAGCCACACTGCATACGCAGTGTTCTGAACATAAGGAAGCAACTCATGTATACGCTGCGGACGCAAATGCATCTCTTGGGAATGAGGGACAAAAATAGGATGAATAGAAATGTGAGATGCCAGTCTTTGCCTTGGGACTGTCGAGCTCTGAAAGACAAGACTAGAGAGATGACTCGAAGCCTTGGACCAAGGCGTCTCTTTCCGCGGAAATTCTCCTCTTAGAAAACACACCACCTGAGAAGCACAAGGAAGCAGAATACACTTATGACAATGTGCACAAGGCGAAAACAAAGCAAAGAGCACAATCGGCCGACATGAAGGACAATGCGAACAAGTATTGAATGAGCACGTGTGGTTCCTAAAGGTACCTACAATGGGTCTTGGAAGCTACACCGGCTTACGACACGGCGTGCTTGGACGAATATCGACGGAGATACTAAGGCATGCGGTATCTCCAAGAATTATTGGAACCTAGACAACGGGTGTGCATTATATAGTACTCAGTCATACAACACTGCGGATGGGCCCTGGACACTGTTCTCAGTTATTCCGAGAATAACGGCGAGGAAGAAATGGAGACCATCCTAAGAATGATAAGGGAGCGCCAGGAAAAAGAAAACGTCAACAAAATGCTGGTATATGTGGGTTCGTCTTTAGACTTTGCACGAAGTGTGCGGATGGCAGCAAAGGCCATCTCCTTCCCTGAGTTTACCAACCGGGTAAATTGGGAAATCCATGAAGCGCATCACCAGGAGCAGCCACGACCCGCGGGGACGAGGAACCATCTCCACGGATGGCCGAAAGGCAGCATCGGAAGAGATGTTGTGGGAGTGGGGATCACTCCAGAGGAGGCAGCACAGCATGAGCTTGACTTTGACGAGTACGGTTTCCTGAAGAAGGCTGGCCCTTCGCGTCCGGCATTCACCCCATCAAGACTGCATCCCACCATGGTTTCAGACGAGTAGGAGATAAAGCGCGGTGCTTCGCCGGGTGTTGGCACCGGATCTACTGGCCAGCGCATTTATCGACTAGCTAAAGAGACATGGAACACCGCAGAACTGCGGTGTTCCATGTCCCGGATTGCTCCTATTTCATGGGCCCTGTGGCATCCGGAGCCACAGAGAGACGAAGCGGCTGATGAGGGTTTTCATGGCAATCACGCCCGTTGCGAGCGAATGCTAAGGTGCTCTGCAGCTTAGGGCAAGTTTGAGAGCTATGGCAAGATGTCTCGGTGTAGATGAGAATCCTTTCTCGTGATATTGGTTATTCCCTGCCGTCATGCCTGTACCCTGTAGTCTTAGTATATGATTGAGTCTTCGGTTCAGCTCAGCTCTTGCTCAGCTCAGCTCTTGCTCAGCT